TCCCTGACATCTAAAAGGAGCGCCAATTTGGTGCTCCTTTTAGAGTCGGTGGGGGAGTCCCGCTCCGGACCAGGGTGTCCCCGACTTATCCCCCTGTTAGTTAGGATCAGATTCAAAATAGCTGACTCTATTAGTTAGGATCAGATTCAAAATAGCTGACTCTCTTGTTAGTTAGGATCAGATTCAAAATAGCTGACTCTCTTGTTGCCTCTTCCACCTTTTGGACAATGAAATTGTCTTCGAGGCAAGTGAGGAATTTGCTAGACCATGAGGATTTTGCTTTGTTTGACTTCCAGCAAATATCAGGATAGTTGAAGTCACCCATCACTACTACATTTCTCCTTTTTGAGTGTGTGGTCATTTGTTCTAGAAAGGCATCATCCAGTTCTTCTGCTTGAGTCGGGAGTCTGTAGTAGACTCCCACACTAACATCCCTGTTGTTTCCTTCCCCTTTAATTTTTATCCAGATGCTCTCCACCTGGCTTTCAGGATTGATGTCCTGGATTTCTTCATGCAGTGCTTTCCATGGCTTAGTGGGGATTCGAACTCTGGTCTCCAGAATCCCAATCGAACACTCAAGCCACTACACCACACAGGCTAAGTTAATGGGTACAAACTCCTTTTTCACTTTGAACTCAGTTTGCAGCAACTGAAGTGAACTGAGAACAAAGAAAGGAAAATGATAGGAGGAAAGTGAGTCATACTAAAAGCCACTGAAAAAGTGGACAAAAGAGGATTAATTGGCATTGTCCCTGCCAAATTGGAGGGTATGCCATAAAACTCCAAAACTCCCCCCAAAACTGAAAAAATAAACAAACCCAAAACACCGCCTAAAAATTGACCAATGTGGCAGTTGGAAGTGACCCAGCATCATCCAACCTGGCATGCTGAAAGTACCAAGACCATGTGGCACCCTGGTCTGGAAAATGACATGGATGTGGCCACTGAAAAGAATTTGAGCAGTAGGAACAGGGTTACTCCAGTTCAAGTGGCAGGTGCATGAGTCAGCATTTGGTAAACTATGCATCATGGGAAGTCTGATGGAACAAGCACAGTGGATGAGACAAGCCAGGTGTGCATCATGGGAGGCCTGATGCAACAGGCACTGAGGATGAAACCAGAGATGTTTCATTTGTGCATGGCTGTTACATGTTCCCAAGAAGACCACCTATATAAGGGAGAGGGTCAGAATCTCCATTGGTGGCTGGTTGTGGTTGGTGAAGCACTTTGTTGGTGTGCATAGCTGTGAGTGTTGAAGACAGATCTATGATACTCTATGTATATTTGTAAATATTTACAACAAAGATTAAAGCCCTCTTTTGAGTGAAGTCTCTCGGTCCAGCGATTCATTTCTCCCAGCTGAAAGCAGCCGCCTGCATGTGAGAGGATTTTTCCTGTGCCGTCTGGAGACTCTTCACAGAGACCATCTTCTAGGCATTCCTGTCTATGTGCATCAACTCTGTATGTGTGTATGCTAGATCCTGCTTGTCTGCATACCCCAACAGAAATGCCCATATTTGGCGTGCCGACCTCATCTGCAGTTGTCTACTCCTGGTTCAAATCCTGAACTGTAAGACCTTTGGCATTTTATTCCTCAGTTGTTCTTTAAAGGTTCTTTAAAGCCAGTCTCCTTTTGCTGGAGCTGTAGATTATGTCATGGACTGAGATTCCTGTGTTTGCCAGACCTTGTTCACAATCCTCATGCTGGTGTTTGTAGAAGAATCAATCTTACTTCAGTTGCCTTTGGAGCTGTATCAGCCTATGAGTCCACTATATACTAATTGCCACAACCGGCAACTGGCTTGATATCCAGTGTGAGCAAGAACCTTTTTCTTCTGTTTTTAGGGCCTGGTGACTTTTGAGGAGGTGGCCGTGTCTTTCTCCCCAGAGGAGTGGGCCCTGCTGGATCCTGAGCAGAGAACCCTGCACAGGCAGATCATGGCAGAGACCTGTGGAATCATGGACTCTCTTGGTAAGAATCTTTCTTTCCCTGGATGATTATGCCTTCTGTTTTAAAATTCATTCATAATAATGGAATTAACAGCTACAATACTTGGAAGCAGGTCCTGATTCAGCCCAAATGGGAATAATAATAATAATAATAATAATAATAATAATTTATTTATATCCCACCTCTCCTGTCAAGCAATCAGAAGGGTTGAACAGTTTAAAACATCATACAATTTTAAAATACATTCCAAAATCCCACAACCCTCCCACCCCTTAAAAAAGAACTAAACAATTTTGGTATTAAAACATGATAGTTCAAACACTCCATTAAAAAACAATCCAAAAACAAACAAACAAATAGGTGAGCAGTAATTGTAATACAGGGATGAGCCCTGTATATGTAGATGTTGCTCCAAAGAATAGGACTCAGAACAATAGATGCAAACTACAGGAAAAGAGATTCCACTTGAACATTGAGAGGCACTTCCTGACAGTGAGATCTGTTCGACAGTGGAACACACTCCCTCGGGGTGTGGTGGAGTCTCCTCCTTTGGAGGTCTTTAAACAGAGGCTGGATGGCCATCTGTTGGGGATGTTTTGATTTTGGGTTCCTGCATGGCAGGAGGTTGGACTGGGTGGCCTTTGTGGTCTCTTCCAACTTTATGATTTGGTGGTCATAGGAGATCTCTGGGATTACAGGCTGTCTTGCTAAACCTCTCTTGTTCCCTTATTGATGGTCATTTTCATTCTGAAAATGTGTTAGAGGGATTGTGTGCTTCTCCACTGGACAGTTGATGGCTGGAACTTTTGGAGGTCTCTCATTCATAGGGTCTAACTTCATGTCAGAAGAGAAAATGAACAACAAAAGAAAAATAACACCATAAACATTGCTTTTGAGTGGGAATACCATCTTACCAATGCCAGTCACAGGAGGCTCCTTAAGGAGGGCTGGAGAAGAGGTGTCTCTACCCCACACACCACATATTTTCCCAGTCACACACCTGTGGGCAGTGCTGTGTAAGGAGGTGTCTTGTACTTCATTGAACAGTGAACTTAAAACGACATAGAATACATATCCAGGGCTTGGTAGGTTGACCATATAGCAAAGTGCAGTATCATCCAAAATCCACAAAACACAGTGATAATTTTATTGGGCCAGCCAAAATGCACATTATACATATTGCAAAGCTATATTGGCTGGCCCAACAAAAGTATCACTATTTTGTGGATTTTAGATTATACTGTACTTTGCTATAAGGCCAGTACAGCTACTCCTGGAAATGTTCTCTCGATATCAAGATACCACATTTTTGCTGCCACTGTTAATCTATAGCTGTTATTAAATACCGCAATCGTCTCCAAAATTTTATTTCATCTTCCTTATTTAATATTGAATTTATATTCAGAACACATAACTCGGGAGAATGTATATTGTATTCACAACTCTTTTTTAATGACTTTTCACTTGCGGGCACCACATATGAAATAAAATACCATTTCCTTTTTGGTATCTCCAACACTTGTTCCCCAATTTATAGGTCTTATCTAGTGTCCATGGTGTAAGATACCATCTATTCATACTTCTAAAATAATTCTCCTTCATATCTTGTGAAGCTGTAAACTTGTTGAATTTGCCCTTTCCCAACTTTCTAAAATTCTGGGCCTTTCTTATCATTGACAGTTTTACCAATTCATGTTCGCATATGAAAAAACAGCTCTGACAATTTTTAATGACTAATTTGGGAGATATGGTGGGAATTTAAGTGCAAAGAGTGCCCCGTATGTTGAGAAGCATCTGTGAAGCCAATAAATTTTAACATCTTGCTTGGGTGTTTGGTACAACCCAGTTTAGGTGTTGTGGTCATATGTATCAAGGGATTCCATTTAGCAATTATGGGTAATATCTATGACAGAAAAGGGGACACAGAAGCGCCTCTTTCTCTGATGGGTCTTTTCCTTCATACCCTGTTTAGCTCCATT